GTACACTCTTCCTTTCAATTGAACCAAGTTTCAATTGAACCCACTTTTTTGTTTGATTGTGAGATGCGTAAAGGTTACAAGTTGTTTTGCGTGCTCGGGGATTTTTTGCTATCGAAAAATATGAATCAAAGGATTCGCATCATATTTTGTGTAAAAAATAAAATAAAGTGATCCGAAACACTTGAAATATTGACAGTGGCATACGGTGAAACTGTTCTGAGAAAAAAAAACATATTTACAAATGTTACAAACTCTTGGCCGGGAAGATGCCAATAACGAGACTCGCTCTGGACGCCCAAGGACGTCAGCAACTGATGAGAACGTTCAAACAGTGAAGAAAATTGTTTTGGAAAATCGTCGAATCACTATCAGAGAAGTTGCTGAACATGTCAGTATATCGCTTGGCTCGTAGCATGAAATTTTTTCAAACGTTTTGGGCATGACACACACACATTGTCGTGTTTCAGCGAAGTTTTTTTCGAAATTGCTGAATTTTGACCAAAAGAACCGTCGCATGAGAATGGCTCAAGAGCTATTGAATGACGCCAACGACGACGCAGATTTACTCATGATATCGAAACCAAAGCCCAATCGTCCCAATGGAAGAGCCCAGGTGAGCGAAGACCGAAAAAAGCAAGTGTGCATCAGGAGTTCTTCCATATGGTTGTACGGTCAATAAACAGTATTATCTGGAAGTCATGCGCCGTTTTCGAGAAGCAATAAAATAGAAACATCCAGAATTGTGAAAAAATGCATTGCTTTTGCATCACGATAATGCCCCTGCTCGCTCATCTTTGCTTGTGAGAGATTTTTTGGCCAAAAACAACACCACAATAATGCCTCAGCCACCATATTCACCGGATTTGGTCCCATGTGACTTTTTCTTGATCCAAAAATTTAAGAGACCTATGAAAGGACGAGATTTGCAACGATTGAAGAGATAAAGACTGCATCGCTGGAAGAGCTCAAGGCTATACCGAAAAGTGCTTATGGGAAAAGCTGTTCCGTTGTTTACTTTAACAAGTGATTACTTTTTTCTAACAAAAAAGCATAAAAGCGTGCTCCTGATCTAACTCTCATATTTCCCTAATTTACTTTCAAAACGACAGCTGTTGTGCAACTGAAATTACAAGTCCCCCATTTCACCACATATTTCATGACCGCATCATCCGTTTACCGATTACAATTGTGGTTATTTACAAAATAATTATTTTCTGAACACAGTTATTTTTATCTCGAAAAAGTAGTAAATCTCGAAAAGTTCACATTTGTGCCAGTTGTTTGATGTCAAAAAGGTTGGGGAAATAAAATTAAATGTTTATGCAATAAAGTTATGTTTTTTCTATAGAAAATGGTTAAATAAAAGGTGATTATTTCATAAATTGAAGTAAAAAAAGGTTTAAGAGAGTTACATATGTAAGTAACGCAGGTAAATTAAATTAAAAGAACTGAAATTTAAAGAAAAATCTAGTGATTTGGTGAAATGTCAAGTTACAACAAAAGTTACAGAATGTCAAGTTACAGAATTTCAAAAGTGGGTTGGCGTAGACAAAAACCTTTGGGGTATTGATATATATTTTATTTTTAAAATATTAATCCGAATTCAAATCAAAAACCTGGCATCACCGTAAATAAAATCTTGCTTCACAGCTCTGAAGTTTTTTGGACTACTGTCAAGGCAAGTGATTTCATTACTTAATTTTGTTATCCGTTTTTGGTAAGCCGCTATATTGTTTATTTAGGTAAGCTTCTATTGGCTTAATGACTATTTTATTAACTGTCATCTAAGTAGTCAAGATATGTTCAAGTTGAATGTAGTCACTCTACACCAGTGGACGGAAATTTTAACGAAATTGTTCGCAACATGTTATTTTTGTTACTTCATGATATTACTGTTCAAATAAAAGTATAAGCAGGAAAGAAAAGTTATTATCGAGCTAACTAATTTAATTTAAAAAATTTATTATAATACAAACTTAAAAAAAAAGTTCCAAGCTTCTGTCTTCCAAAACAAGAAAGTTGGTTTATTTTCAACCATTGTGTTATGTGTAGGTATGATACATGGTACAAACATTCTTATTGTCATAGCCGTAGGATACATTCGCATAGAATTTAATGGTTGAGTGCAAGAGACACAGCGAATGGAGTGAGTGGGAGTGAGAGCACGAAAGCATTTTAACTAATGAACCATAGAACTGCACGGGTTGCACTTTTCGACACCCTATGCATACCCATAAAATGATTTGTGCGGTTACCTCTCGCCACTCATAAGCCATAAGGCAATACCGACACCGACACAATTTTTGTATGAGTATGAGTATGTTTTGCCTTTCTTGCACTCGTGATTTTGTACCTGTGTTTCTTAACCCGCAAAACACCTGAATATTTTTCGGTTTCGGTAATGTTTCAATTATTTTCAAACAATTATTTTATATTAGGCAAATATGCATAGTTTTGTCGTTCGTTCTAGAATGCATATGAAACAATTATAATTCTATTTCTAACTCTAACTCATTCAATTCGCTTTTCATCCCCCAAATATTGTGGGAGTGAGATCTACATACAGTCACTCATTTTACACCAATCACTCAATTATTTTCGTCTCCACATACTATCCAACTCAATTCATTTTCAAGGTTGTACCGTTGAAGACCTCTAGTACGATGTAGTCGGCCGATCTTTACGAAATCCTTGGTTTATCGGTCTTTCAGTTTTGAAGCTTTTGAGGATGAAAAATCTCTCCCCTCCACATTTTTATGTTTTATTATAACTAATTACTCAAATTAGATGTAAGTCTATTAGTTTATAGTTCACACAGTATTAACCGTTTTAACATATATATATGCCTACAAGTTCATAGTATTATAGAATCTATAATATAGATCAAACACCCACCCATAGGAGTTCGAGTCGAATTGCTAGGAACAGTATTGGAAAATAGTGGCGCGGAAAACCTAACTTAATGAGCACTGGCTGGGCAATTAGCCACGACCCAGTCTACAGAAGCTAGGGAAAGGAAATATCGAAGACGAGGTAGGTCATACCCCTTAGCGTTGATAGCCAACAATCAAGTAAAATAAAGAAGCAAAGAACAATAAAACCCACGTGCGTAATTCATTTATCTGGATGTATGTCCGGAGCATGATATTTGACTTCTGTTTTTTGCATGGGGTTATATTGACCAATAGACAAATAGAGGGCGTGGCCCCGCCCCTATTTTTTGTTAGCTAATATAAATTTCTGCATATTTTTAGAGTACTAATTAACTAATTATTCAATAGAAAATAGTGACACGCCCTTAATAATGTATTACAGTTTTAAGAAGAAAGCCCACACCTCGTAGCTCTTCGTTTTCCATCTCAATTTTATATTGATGTTCAAAATCAACAATATTAAAAGGGCTTTCATCCTCACCCTTCGTTGTGCCATCGGGATTCGTGAGGTCTCTAATAGGTCCAAAACCTCTAATGGAAGACACATTTTTCTCTGTTGCTGTATTCTTCTATCCAAATTCACTGATTAAATGATTGGATCAGAAGTATCTGTAGCTCGCTGAAATACGTCTGTTATGTTTTCAACCTTACCACATTTTTTGGCGTGGTGCAGCCGATCAGATTTGTAGAATTTATTCCGAGATACCGCTCCTTCCTCTCCGAAATAACCAATAGAAAGGACAGTGTTTCCAATAATATCACTTCCGAGAATTAGAATTTTATGAACACTTTCCTTCATTGGCAACCAGGGGTATTTCTCAACGATTATATCGGCAGTCCTATAACAAAAGTAGTTAGCCTCTTGCGGGATATATTGCCCTTCGCATTAAAAGGCAGTTTTGGCCGACGTACTGGGTTCTTGGTTTTCGGAAAATTTATAACAGTTTTTGAATTCAGCCAAACTGCATGATTCCGGCGCAACTGGCTTAAATTAGAAGAGCAACTCTTCCACATTTGCGTCAAGAGGTAGCAAAATTTTTTACTCGCTTGGTCTACGATATCGCTGTACTCTTGAAAATTCACTCCTGAGATGGAATCTTTAATAAAAAGAAAGACAGCATTCTCCTTCGCGCCTTTTCTCTTTGCTTAACCACTTCGCAAACAAATCTGTATTTGCCAAATTGAGGTTATGTCCTAAAAATCAAAAATTCTCGCAAAATCGAACAAAGTGGTATTTTTAATTACATTCATTCGAACAAGAATTTAATGCTCTACCACATACAATACATTTTGTGGATGGAATCTTCTGGACTTACTTTAAATCTCTTATGGAACATGAAATTTTATCCAAACTATGCATTGGTAAAACTACTTGCTCTAATAAGGGGACAACACAATTTTATTCTACATATCACGATCAAAAAAATACAATACGAACTACACAGATTGGAATTCATTTCAAAAATGTAATATTGTTTAGCTTTTTACTTCTGCTCGCTCAAACTTCGAAAACAAAACTTAATATTGCAGTCGCCTGTGCTTTGCTAATGCAACAGCTGTTTTTGTCAGCTGATTCCTTTGTTGTGGCGCCCTCTATCAAAATTTCTTTTATGCAACCCTAAAGATTGGTGAATTGTGAATGCGTTAAACTTATTTTAATTTTCCTACTTTCAGAAAATGGGTTTTGGTCACAAAAACTGGTCAAATTCCCTATAGTGCAGTGGATGCGTTTTCGAGGTAATCTCTGCGAAAAAGTAGGACTTACGAGGGACCTACGGGCAACAGACCGGGATCCATTTGAAGTTCCATTTTAATTCACTCATTTTTCATTTTATTTTCATTTCTTCAGTTATATGCCAGCTATAGAATTTAGTCGACCGATCTCGGCTGATTCGTTTTGTACTCGTCGAGCAAGGAAAAGATATGCGCAAAATTTCTTTCAAGATTGCTTTAAAACTGAGATACTAGCTCGGGTAGAAACAGAGAGACGGACAGACAGATCTCCAAGCACTGTTAACCAATTTTAAAATATTTATTATTTATAATTGTTGTAAATTTTTTATTTACCTTCAACATACTGGCGCAATTCAGGGAACTTCGATCATTATCTTTATTATAAGTGGAAAATGGACTATTGTTTGATCCATACCACGGGTCGTTCAGGGAGTCGCCTGCGTTGCCTTCATAGCCATCTATTTCTAGTTTATAATAATCTGCTTCAGAATGTATTTTGAAATGTGAGTATTGAGCATACCTGTAAAAATATATCGAAACATTCAAATAAGAGTTTTTAAATCAAATATAAAATAATTCAGTGGTTGGAACTCAATACATTGATATAATATTAATGCACTAGTATAAGTAGTATAGGAGAAAGTAGCAAATAGTAGAATATAAGCTGCGAGCAAGACGCTTCATACGTTTATACTGCGTGTGTGTGCGGCAGAGCTCGGGCAGAGAAATAGAAATTTTTTATGCCCTTGAAATAGGGCCCTGTCGACCACTAAAATATGTATACGAATAAAACATCATAACTAATCATACAAACTTTAGTAACGTATAGTAACAATGGGACCAGAGAAACGAAAATCGAGTAAAAATATCCTCACGGCCCTCCGCTGCTATGCATTTTTGAAAGTGCATTTATGTTTTTGCTTTCGACTAAGTTCAGATCAGAAAAGAAGTTAAAAGTGTGGGACGAAAGGAAAAAAAATTGGGTATTGACTTATAACTCCCCTTTTAATATTTTGGGTGGTGTTTACATATAATATATTGAAGATCATGTTAAATAAGCATTATGTGTATAATTAAAAAAATGTTTATACATATTCTTTATGTTACTATGATTAATTCCAATGAAAATGATGAAAATGATCTTTTTTTTTATTGCTAGCACGCCCTAGATAAATATGTCGGAGAATTGAGGTCTTCTCCACGTCGTCTCTCATCAGTCGCTTGACCGCTAGCTTGCTGCTCCTCCTTTGTTGCTCATAGCCGCCACTTATTCAACAGTCCTCAACAGGATACCACGCTAAAGCTCGGGACGAATAGAAGTAACGAGTGAAAATTAGAAAGACCAGATCCAGCAACACAACGAAGCCACACACGGCCTCAGTTCATCAACTGAGTCCCCATTATACCAGAAATGGTATATCCTTGCACGACCTATGGTCACACCATAGAGTCTCGTTCTAACGAGAGACTGAATTATCTCCTCTCCGACACGGCCATCCTGACATATACACGTCCTCGTGTCTATAATAAACACCTGAATTTCATTCCACTTTATAATTTTAATCTCAAATTCGTATAATGTTCCTTGACATAACTTAACTAAACTTTTACAAGGCAACTTTTAAATTCTTCGCCAAACACATCGCTTTACAAATTCATTAATCATATTACTCGTCAATCGCCCATAATTTGGCTTCACGAATTCATCAAACACATCACTCGTTCATCGCCCAACACTTGACTTCTAAAGCAACTCTCGTCCATCGCCAATCACATGGCTTCACGAATTCATCAAACATATTACTCGTCCATCGCCCAACACTTGGCTTCACGAATTCATCAAACATTTCTAAAGCAACTCTTTTCCAACTGACGTTGTTCTTTATAATTTACATCAAGCTCTTCTGGAATTTGCACATCCGGTAACTTTCGCAAACTTTCGTGTGGGTACTTGTAACGTCTATTGTTCTGTGTAGACTTTAAGACGTATCGATCTCCCTCCAATACCTCGACCACCAAAAAGGGTCCTCTGAACTTAGGATCTAGTTTCGTTTGCTGTCTCTCGGTGTTTTTAAGCAACACAAAGTCCCCCACACACAACCTTATTACTTTAGCCACATTTTTATCAAATTTTGTCTTCTCATATCTAGCAGCCTCCTCCATATTCTTAGCAGCGAACTCCCTTGATTTAATCTTGTCAATTTCAACTTTCAACTATATCACTAATAGGTATCAACCCTAGTGGTCGCCCAACTTTACCAATCAAAAGTTCTAAAGGACTACACTTAGTGCTACGATTAACTGTGCCGTTAAGAGCTAACTGCACATCCCCTAGTTCATCCTGCCACGATCTAGAGCTTGTCTCAACAGCCGTCAAAAGACTCTTCAGGGTACTCATGACTCTTTCAACTTGACCATTGGCTCGACTTGCGCCCATTCCAATTAGATGTAATTGTATTTTTTGGCTAGAACAAAATTGCACAAACTTTGTGCCCGTGAAGCTGCGCCCCTGATCGGCAATTAAATGTGTTGGCACGCCAAAAATGGCAATCGAAGATTTCATTGCATTTATACATGCATTAGCATCCAAGAAAAGATGTGAAATAGATAAACGTATTTTGTAAAAGCGTCTATTTGTACAATGATATATTCTTTACGATCGCTTTTCCCGCTCAATTTTCCTGATATATCTATGTGAACAGTGTGCCAAGGAATGCTTATTTTTGGAATTGGGTGTAATTCCATTTGGGGTTTTCCTGAAGTGCCCTTAGAAACTCTACATGTAATGCAGTTCTCCACCAATCTTTGAACATATTTTGTCATACCCGAAAACCAGTAATGATCGTACACTTTATTCAGTGTTTTCTCCCAACCAAGATGCATGATAGACTCATGTACCTGATTTATAACTTACCAGCAAAAAGTACGAGGAACTACAGGTAAGCAACGAGTTTTTGAATTTCTTTGAACCTTTCTATACAAGACATTTGATCTAATTTCATAAGTGGCAACTAATGACAGTGGTAAATCGTCATTTTTCAACTTAGTTAGAATTTCTGATATTTCTGGATCCTTTTGTTGTTCTACCATTATCGATAAATCCTAGGTGACAATTCGACTTTATTTCGAGAAGATTTTATTGAGTTACAGTCAGTAAAAATTACGAATTTTCTCCCATGCAGATAGTGACGAAAATGTTTTACAGCATTCACGACAGCCAACGTTTCCAATTCATATGATGTATATCTGGACTCACAGGGGCTAGTTGCTCTGATAAAGTATTCAACCACATGGGGTTTAGAGTTTATGCGGTGCAGAAGGATAGCACCATACCCGATAGAGCTGGCGTCGGTATGCAGTTCTATGGGAAATTGAGGATCAAAAATAATCAAAACAGGCTTATTTGTTAATACACTTATGATTTTACTTCGAATTTGCTCATGTTGTGTTTGCCAATCAAAACTAGTCGTTTCAGATGTGAGAAAATATAAAGGCTTCATCAGCTGAGAAAACCCCTGAATGAATTGACGAAAATATGACGCTAGCCCAATGAACTGTCTTAAAGAAGCAACTGACTTTGGTGGAGGCAATGCCACTAGTGATTCTATTTTGTTAGAATTTGGACGTATCTCCCCCGCTTGTATCTCATAGCCCAGATAGTGCACTGTAGTTCTCATGAAAAAGCACTTTAAACTGTTAAAGGAGAATCCTGCCTTCACCAAAACGTCTAATACAAGTTTCAAACGTTCATACGCTTCTTCCTTCGTTTCTGAAACAATTAATAAATCATCCATATAAACAATTACAAACGAATGAGCAAGAATGCCAAGCGCCTTTAATACAGCTCTCTGAAACACTGAAGGTGCGTTTCTTAATCCAAAAGGCATCGCAAGAAATTCGTATTGTCCATCAGGGGTAACAAAAGCAGTATATTCAATTGATTCGGGGAGCATTGAAATCTGGTTATACCCGCTAGCCATGTCAAGAGAAGTGAAATATTTGGCTCCCCTATTTGATCTGATATTAACGGTAATGGGAACTTATCAGCTACGGTATTTCTATTTAATTCCCTGTAATCAACGCAAAGTCTCGCTGAGCCGTCTTTCTTCTTTACTAACAATGCAGGGCTCGCAAATGGTGAGTTACTAGGTCTGATAACTTTATATTCGATCAATTCTTTAATTTTAGCACGTACTAACTCCCGCTCGCTTGGACTAAATCTGTATGGTCGCCTTTGCACAGTCTTTGTCGATTCAATTAAACGAATATGCATTTCCCCAGTATTCACACGAGTTTGCGGAGTGCCTTCGATAAAAGATAGAGAATGTTGCATTAGCAATGATATTAACATTTCTTTTTCATTTTCGACCATCTCCGTTTCAATTTTATCAAAATTAGTAGGCTGAATGGTTTCACAAATGTTTACAACTTTAGATTGGACAACTTTAAAATTATCATAGGAGACTTCTACTAAAAACCCTTGAGCCCATATTTCTATGCCGATTACTATATTATTTTTCATACATTCGTTTGGTACTATATGAAACAAAACAACCAAGGAGTTGCCATCAATCATGATATTTGATTCGACTTGTGCTGTACTGTAGGTATTGGCATTACCTATCCCCTTTAAAGAAATAACGTTATGAATTCTCTTACCAACTAACTTATTAGAAACGCTTTCCTTAATTAATGAGCACTCAGCTCCCGAATCAAATGTAATTGAAAATCTCTCACCATTGACCAGCATACTCAATTGAGGCTCCACTATAGCGCATGGCTCCACTCTTTTTTCCGTTCTCACCCCCAATCCAGCATTCTGTACTTATTTTTGACAATTTGTGGCTATGTGTCCCGGCTCCTGACATCTGTAACACGTTACGTTTGTCCTTTCTTGACGAGGCTGCACTGACCGCCACTCCTTTCCATTTGTGAGATCCAGATCTACAGTCTTGTTTTTTGTGGCCTAGTTTTCCACACTGATAACATTTGATTTCCGAAGACTTCGCTCGCTTCGTCTCTGGTTCCCAGTTTGTTGAATTTGGGCGCTCCCTTAGCGCTGAGAATGCTTGCAGCTCCGCTTGCAGTTCACGTCGATTGTTAACATGCGTTGTGTGTATCATTCGCTGCAAACGCCGATCGAAATTAGCCATGTGCCCAAGAACCAGCGCGATGCAAATTTGTTCAGGATTCAAATTACGCAGTTTAGTGCACAGTGACGTCACACTGCGACTTGCGGAAACAGACAGACTTTCACCGTTGCCTGGACGACTATTAAGAAAATTTACAATATCGGCGGCTGGCGTCTCTGAAGTCTCGTATCGCTGCTCAAACAATTGCCGGAACTGTTGCCAAGTTATTCCCGGGTAACATATTTGAGATAACCATTGCGCCGCTGTGCCTTCCAAAGCTTTACTTAACGCTAATATAAGAGCGCTGTCACTTAATGGTTTTTCACGTAAGATGATGTCGATCGTAGCCCACCACTGCGTGGTATCCATACCAACAACGTCCGGATTA